CAAGCCGCTCCGGCCGAGTGCGCCAGCCATACCTCTCGCGAGCCCCTACGACAGGATAGGGCCTACGCGAGACACGACTTACCTACACCTTACGGGAGTTGTCACCTCCCTTCGGTGGGCGTATCCCCGCCGAGCTACCAGTCCACAGTACGAAAGCTAATCAGTTGCAATCGCAGAGGTGGACCAGCCGAGGGCATTTTTCGTTCGATGTAGCATAGAGGGTACGCGCGGTAATACGCCTCTATCGGATCCGCACGCGAACCGACATCTTGGGGGGCTGAGGTCCCAAGCGCGACTCGTCGTCGGTCGACTATGACGTATCCCACTCACCACGCATACACCACTCTATGAACGCAAAAATAAAACACTCACACACACACCGAACAACGCGACAACACTCATAGTCCCTTCAGTAGCCATCCCATAACTTTCCGATGCGAAAATCGGATAGGCGTCGCGCACGAGACTTAGTATAAAACCGTCCAGACGCGGGGCCTACTCATATCGACTCGCAATGCAGGCGTACGCAAGCAGTCGCAATAATTATGTACTATGTAGTGCCCATAATCAAGCGGTCCCTCGTGGATCTGAGTACCGCTTATGACACTCAAGTGTTAGACTCGAAGTATCGTGATGGCCTAATCCCTCACGATATTGCACGGCTGAAGGAATAGTCGTGTGGCCGCCGCGAGACCTCCGACCTTTAGCTTGAGCGTCTTGGCAGGCAAGGCAAATAGGCTATGCACGGGGGCAGATTCCTTCCCTGCGGAGTCTAAGGGCTTAAGATGTCCTGGACAAGGACCTTGAATCCCGGTCCGGGACCAACGTCTGACTATAAAAATTTATAAGAAGCAAAAGGATAAAAAGGATCTCCCTTTTCTCTCAAGCCATAATCTGGTTAACCCTTGCGCACGATGACAGTAAGTCGCGCGCATACCCAAGACACATATAAATATACATAGGGTTTATTTATATAGTACGATCACTTCTCACAGTCATAGTGGGACTCATCTCAGCCATATATATATGTAATCGCAGGCAGTCACATCCAAAGTCCGAACCACAAACATACCTGCAATCACATAAAAGATCTAACAAAAGTTCACACAATACACGGGGTCAACTTCAACCATTCTCTGCCCTCATATCCCTTGCTTTAGCCATACAAACCTCAACCTTAACGCAAGTTTCCAGCAATAAAATACTCAATAACTTCGTTAAATGACCATTCAATAAAGTCCGGGTAAAAATACAATGAAACAAATCAAACCACAGGGCTAAAACCTTTAGGTTGAGTGACAAGAGTGGGTTGGAGTTGAATCGTAAACCGACGAATCGACAATCGACCAGTTATCAGTGATAACAGAAGATGATTCTCAAGGGATCAAGCAAAATCTAGTCCTAAACTTGAATCAAACGATCAAGAGGACCTGTAACACATAGCAGGTCAATACCCAAGGCTAAACCTATAAGTCCAGGGAGAACAATCTTCATATCATGATCTTACCAAAATCACCCTACTTAACTATATCTAAGCCTACCTCTAAGCAAGTGCCCCAAGAAAGGTAGACTCGTGGCAGAATCTCCCCTATTAAGGGTGGATCGCCAGAATCGCCACCTGTCAAAATATTATCTATCTCCTCTAAACTAAGAAAATTTTGGCAGCGCTTCCCGTAGGAAAAGTGTCTTTCCATAATTTATATAAGTCCGAATATGAAAGCAGGAATAACCTTTAAATCTGAAAAGTCAAATTTTGTCTAACTCCCTGAATTAGTTAAAATTTTGGCAGCACTCCCTTTAGAAAATTAGACTTTCCATATTTTTACTAGGTCGGATATAAAGAAAAGACAAGTTGAATTTTGACAAGTCAATTTTGACTAACTCCTTGGATTTGTAGAAATTTCGGCAGCGCTTCCCGTAGAGAAAATAGTTTGCCAAAATTTATACAAAGCCAAGTACAAAAAATGATCCCAGAAAATGCAAGAATTGACCTAAGTAAAAAAAACTATCACAGAAAATGCAGGAATTGAAACTAACTCCTATCGCTATGGCACATGGCGAGCAACTAAAGCAACTACCTATCCAACTGAAACTTAGACAAAGTAGCGATCTCACTCAGCCACATGCAAGTCAAACCACAAAGGTAAGTACTTTCACCAACCCAAGTTCATCTGGGCAACCAATAGTTCATGATCTTTCACTTATTTAACCCTTTATACCCAGCTTACAAAAGGCATAAAGCCAGGCCACTCAAACTTATGGAATGTGCCTAACTTAGCCAAAGAGTATACACAAAACAGAGGACACAACTACTTCTCTCTTCTTTGGGTATATGACTAAACCATTCTAGCCACCCTGAACTGTTTAAAATATCCAAGTTATATATATCTGTCTTTCCCCTTGTCTTCTAAGACTGCATATGACTGAACTAACTCAAGTTCAGTCTGCCCTGCTTACCATCAATTTTATTCTTAATTATACTCTCTTCAAGTTGTGATAGGCTATAGTCAGACCACCTAAACTTATAGAACAGTCTGATTAGCTCGTTCTTTAATATAATAATAGTAAAGTATAGCCAAGTTGTAACGATTGGGTTCCAGCATGTGCGAGGTTTTGAGTCAGACCACCTGAACTTACAGAACAGTCTGACTCTTTGCCTAATTAATTTCTTTCTGATCCATTTTGTGCGTGGCATTGGGCTAGATCACCCGAACTTACAGAACAATCTGCCCTCTGTCTGGTTTATTTTCTCAGAATAAAACAGGAGGAGGCTAAGCTATCTAAACTTATAGAACGGCTTAGACCTCCTCGTTCAAAACAAAATGAACAGGGGAAAACCCAAGTAAACAAGGCAACCAAAGCACCTGAACTTACAGAACACACTTGGTCCCTGAAAAGTCAACCACAGTCAGCCCTCACAAGTCATAGCAGTCAGACCACCTAAACTTATAGAACAGCCTGACTCTTCATGAGCAATCAGACCCCCTAAACTTATAGAAGGGTCTGACGCTCCATGCGAACTAAAATAAACAAAGCACTGAGTCTCCCCAAACTTATGGGGACTTCCCAGCCTTAATGACCCAGTCACACCCTGAATAAAAACAGTCCTCCATCCTGCCTTCCCCAGATGCAATTCCTTTCAGCAATCTGATTTCATACAACAAATAAAGTTGAAACTAAGATTGGGCAATCGTTCTTTTACTTAATCTTATTCAGCGTCCTGAAAGTCAAACTAAAAATAAAGGTAGGGCTGCACACCATATATTCAGTCAGAGATGCAATGGGTAATACAAATAGGGGTTATAACTGGGTCTATAAAGGAAAAACAATGGTTACCTTTCAATTCCCTGCCTCCAGAACTCTTTCCGAGTTCCAGCAGAGCTCCCGCAATCGGTGGGATAACTCCCCATAGAGTCTTGCTGCGGTCCTACGGGTTCCAATCCCACCTGCCGCCTTCCTCTCAGAACCAGTAGACTAGACTTAGAGTAAGAAGGGCAGAAGGAGAAAGATTTAGTCTCTCAGATACAAGAGGGATGCTCTCAGACTCGCAGGAGAGGACCTTGTTATCTGGATGCGCCTGAGGGCCCCGCAATGGCAGCCAACGTGACAGCTTGGTCAACCCAGAATCAAACTGCTGAACTTCACTCTCCTGACGCACCCCAAATCTACAACAATAGCCCCTGTCGCCGAGTCTGATCTCTTCCCCAAGCCTTGGCAACGCCTCCCGTCAATTAAACCTGACTACACAGTCTAGAAAGACTGTTATTTGAACCAACCATACTTATTTTTGCAGTTATAACTTAACAAGCCTAACTGAACCGCGTGCAGCAGACAAGTATCGCAACCATGCACAGCCGTTAGCTGCACCGAACTTACTGCTAGGTCCTGCAGGCTTCGCCCCCCCACTCCTCTATTAGGCTGCACAAACAACATATCGACAAGCTGGGAAGCCTGCAGTCTCTGCGATCCACCAGCTGCTACTCATTGGGATGAGCAACGCACCGGCCCATAGTTAGACCTATAACCTCGTGCCTAGCTTCCCTTTCATCCCTTCCCCCATCAGCGGAGTAGCCTGTAGCTACACAGGCTGATGGAATGACTGGCACACTGATCAAAGGTTGGGCCTGCAACTCTTGTAGCTGGTCTGATGTACTTTTACTCGTCGATCTGAGGTCTCCCTCCCTTCTTTCTGCTCTCAATCGCTTGCATTGCCCCCCACGTTTTTACTCCCCCGCCATATTTGTTATATGAACTAAGAGCGAAATTTCCCTTGGCATACGGGAAGGCACACTGCCTCCCCGTTGTGCATTCGAAAGCGTAACAACTGCTATTCTATAGCTAGATCCAGCAGAAGAAGAACTCCCATTAAAACATGAGGTTATACACTTATGACTTCGAAACTGCCCCTACTTGTTTTATCCTGAAAGGGGAGAAAAGGGGGAGTGAAAAGAGCGAATGGGAAAAAGAAAAAAAAAGTGGAAAATAAGGATGAATCCACCACTAAAATTCGTACAAATACATCACCCATTTTCCTGCGCGCAGCTAGGAACCACCATTTTCCTGCGCCATCGTATTCGCGACGGCTGATCACCTCGGATCAGCCTTTTCCCTCACTCAAAATCACTAATAATCGAGTGGGATATCCGTTTCTACTCCCCGCCATCTCCATCTTTTCCGTTCATC